CGGTCTTAATAGGGAAAATGTAAAAGTTATGGTGTGCCTATAGGTAATTTCCTATAAATTTTCTATCGGGCCGTATCCGGAAAAAACCATGAACAAATGCACATATTGAATCCGGTAGCGCCCGATAGATTATTTTGTATAGGTCCCTCTGGGGTATTTTAAGCAGGGCTGGGAATATTCCTGACATATGCAGGGAACCGGATTTTGCGGTCTGGAAATGTGTAATATTAAAAAATTGCATTTAGGAAAGTTTATATGATTAGGTTGCAGTTGCTATTGTTACAGTTGTGTTAGGGAACTTTTACTTCTTTAGTTTATGTTAGTAACATTATGACGACAAAAATAAGTAAATTTTTGTCAGAACTGTCCGAGTTAAATAAAAAAAATAAGAAAGGTTAAAAATATGGTGTTGTAAGTACCTAGACTCTAGGTCCTAGAGTATATTCCTCGAATGGTAAAGCAATTACGCACTTGCCCTTACGGAGGTCGCGACGCGTAACTTCTTCCACTTGTGTAAATTTGCTACTTACCAATATTGTTATGTAAACTACTATTAACGTATCTTATGAGATCTATGCTCAGGTCCTTAGAGGTATAAATTATACCGTATAAAATATCTAAAAACAAAATCCTACATTTTTTATTTTTTTGTTTTTGATGCCTAGCGATGTTTAACGATGTGCACACAATATACTGCCTGGGCTGGCGCTTTGGCAGTGAAATGTATGCTCGGGTATAATATAAGTTTTCTCCGCCTGGTCTATAATGTACTTTTTCTTGCTGCTGTAATTCTGCTTGATATCGCCAATAACGGGATTTTGACAAAACTAACCATAGAAATAACGGGTGACGTTCACAATATCGAAATTCATTATATCGAATTCAAAATATCGAACACTTTTTATCGAAAATCAAAATATCGAAAATACAAAATGTCGAAAATCAAAATATCGAAAATTAAAATGTCGAAAATGATAATATCGAAAATTAAAATGTCGATTTGAAAATGTCGAATAATTAAAATTTCGAAAATTAAAATGTCGAAAATGATAATATCGAAAATTAAAATGTCGATTTGAAAATGTCGAAAATGATAATATCGAAAATTAAAATGTCGATTTGAAAATGTCGAATAATTAAAATTTCGAAAATTAAAATATCGATTTAAAAATATCGAAAATTAAAATGTATGATTAAAATCGAAGTGTATATGTACAGAGGCGCCTCTGTAGATAAAGTTACGGTTATGCACCGAATTATCTTGGCTCCCTGGCTCCTAGAGATGCGCGTTTTATAGAAATGTACTCAAACTCAACAACACAACCCAACCGACCCCGCCCCATTGGCCCCCCCCCCGCCCCATTGAGCAAAAAACCCAACTAAAATGGGCAAATTCATGTTACGATAAAAATAAAACACTTTTTAATTACATAAATTAGCCCATTTTAGTTGGGTTTTTTGCTCAATGGGGCGGGGGGGGGGTCCAATGGGGCGGGGTCGGTTGGGTTGTGTTGTTGAGTTTGAGTACATTTCTATATCAGAGGCGCCTCTATACATATACACTTCGGATTAAAATAATATGTCGATTAATTGAAATATTTAAACAAAATATCAAATTCAAAATAAGAAAATATGGTTTAGTTTCACATTAAAATTCGATTAAATAAAATTTCGATATTATCATTTTCGACATTTTAATTTTCGACATTTTGTATTTTCGATATTTTGATTTTCGATAAAAAGTGTTCGATATTTTGAATTCGATAAAGTGAATTTCGATATTATGAACGTCGATATTTTATTTTCGATAAATTGAAAATTCGATTAAATAAAATTTCGATATTATCATTTTCGACATTTTAATTTTCGATATTTTGATTTTCGACATTTTGTATTTTCGATATTTTGATTTTCGATAAAAAGTGTTCGATATTTTGAATTCGATAAAGTGAATTTCGATATTATGAACGTCACCCAGAAATAACACTCCTATTTTTATTCAGCTAAACTCTAAACACTAATCAAATGATCACGGATTTAGATTTACCAAACCAAAACATGCTAACGCGCATTAAAAAAAGGCACGAGATTTAAAAAAATATACTCTTATAATATGCGCAATGAGCATCTTATGAATTCATCTTATCATCACATCGAGCTCACCTATGACCAGAGCTGTGCGGTACTCGAGTACAAGTACTCAAACACTGTACTCCAAGTACTTTCAGTGTCCTCGGTACTCAGTCCCGAGTACTTTAATTTGAATGTACTTATACTTGTACTTAAAACATTTAAGATTGCAAAAATGTACTCGGGTACTTTCCCGTGTACTCGAGTACATCCAAAGTATGCAATGAGTACATTTTTATGCGGTGAGGTTGGCGTGGACACATATGTGCAAATATGTGCCTGGCTCAAATTACGGACATGCTGCCTGAGGCAGCCTCAGCCAGCCTGCCTCACACGACAGCCTTAAGACAGCCTCAATCAATAAATAAAAAGACACAGGAAAGAGCATTGAACAAAAGGTTTTTACTTATGTATGAAATGTAATTTTGTTTATATTATGGCAGAAATGAGGTGACAATATTCCTCAAAAATATAATTAAAAAATAAAGCTAAGGCAAAGTAAAACAAGATACTAGCCGGCCCACAGTGCACTGCAGTGTTTCAATTCTCGAAATTTTCGGCAAAATATCAAGGAGTAGTCGGATTCTTCTTCTTCGCTGATATCGAATCTGGAAACAGAATTCCAAAATGGCGGACATATTTGTCAAAAAATTGACGGAATAAATTAAAAATCACCATACAGGGGTTTTTGGGGTCGTTGATAACGAATCTGGAATCATAATTCCAAAATTCAAAATGATAGATCCAAAATGGCGGACATATTTGTCAAAAAATTGACGGAATAAATTGAAAATCACCATACAGGGGTGTTTGGGGTCGCTGGTAATGAATCTGGAATCATAATTCCAAAATTCAAAATGGTGGACCTCAACTGGCGGACATTTTTATAAAAAAACTGTCGAAATTAATTAAAAACCCGTAAATTTCAAAATTAATTCATACAATTTAAATAAAACAGATTTTATATCAAGTTTTTTAAATTTTTATTATTTCTTTTACTTAATATTTTAGCAACGATTTCTTAATTTGCTAAAAAAAATGTCAACACAAATGACCACATTTTAAATTTGACATTAACACACTACAATGCGCATGCGGAGTTGTTTTAACGCACATACAAGAGGTGGGTTAAATATGTAAAATCGGAGTTAAATATCTTAGTAGTCACGAACGATTTACGCGAGTGAAAGTTTGAGTTAAATCCGAATGAATCGAGTAAACGTTATGAACGCAACCCAGAAATAAAAAAATCTTATATTTTGTAAAGCAAAAATACAGATACGCGCGCGACATGGGCTAAAAATCGCGAGGTTTTTTACAAGCGTGCCTGAGCGCCCAAGTACATGTAGTTTTAAAGAGCCGGGGGCGAGTTGGGGCAGATAATTTATTGATGGCTTGATAGACAAAACTAAGCTATTCAACGGATCTTAAACTGACAATTCATTACAATTTTTGTAGCTCCATTGTTCTAAAAGCTCGATTTAAAGTTTGCGATTTTAACAGACCGATCTTGTCGGTTACAATAACCCGCATAACAATCGGACACACCAAACACAAGTTATTCACTTTTAAACAATAAACAATTTTCCGCAGCGATCGCGTGTAAAGTACCTTCAACTGAAAGCGTCAAGTTTAAACTGATGTACAAGACAAAATATACGTATTTTGTATAATTTTTTTTCAATACAGGATGGAGACAGGTATTAACTACCCATCTAACTCAAAATTTACCTAAATTTTTTTTTCAATTTTTGAGGTTTTGCCGATATTTTCGAGAATTGAAACACTGTGCGGCCTTGATAATTAACATAAAGCGAAATATCAATATTTGATGAAGGCAATAGGCCGGCTAGTATTTAGTTTTGCACCAGTGATTCTAAATTCATTTCTTAATCGCCCCATTTCTCTAGCATTTTTCCCAACATTTCATAACTAAGTGTACTCGGTACTTTGAACTAGTTTGGGTACTCGAGTACAACGGTACTGTACTTGTACTTGGTACTCGAGTACTTTTATATAAGAGTACTTGTATTCAGTCCTCGAGTACTTTTTCATTTTACTCGGAACAGCTCTGCCTATGACGCTCATATGTGTACTTTACTAGTGCGTTAAACTCATTTTAAAATAAAAATCAAGAATGTTTTGTGAGAATTTTAAAAATATATAAATTAAAATTAAAATAAAATGTCGCACGACAATAGGGCCAATTATGTTTTGAGCAACATATTAGAGGATAAGGGGAATTGTTTAAAATTAAATAATCTTTTTTATATTTATTTTCAATGTATATTTTTATATTTTCGTCGAATAATTTGTTTTTATGATATTTTTTCAAATTTTTTTATTACTTAGGCAAGTTATAAATAAAATACAGGCTCATAATATATTTTTAAATAAGCAAATTATTATTCTTAATAATTTTTATAAATTATAAAATTGTTTTAGAAGCAAAATGGTTTTTGGGCCCGTGGGTTTTAAGCAGCGTCTCATAGTAATTCGATTTTATAAAAAACTGAAAAAGCCAGCAACATGGCTGTCGAAATGTCAAACCAAATTAATATGAGATTTAAAGCCCGAAAACCTTTTTACTTCTAAAGAAAATTACCGCAAAAGCCTTAAAGATAAAAAAAATAAAAACATACAATTATTGCTTAAATAGAAAAATATCGTTTTTTGTAGCTTCTGGTACCATGTCTGTTCTTAAATGAATTTAATATAAGTATGTACCTAATTCATTATTAAAATTGTCCAGTTTCTAAAAGGGCCAATCAATGTACTGTATAAAATTACTATAGTATAAATTATAATTTTATCTCAGCAAAACAGTAAAAATTAGGATCGAAACGTTAGAAATTAAGAAAGCTCTTAAAGGATTGTAAGAACGGATGCTGCGTCCTCTCGTACGACGGTTAGTGGGTCGTTGGGACGCGCCGCGACGGCCTAAGCGGAAGAACGTTACATCTGTCCGTCGGTAGTGTTTCGGCGGCTATAGCATTGATCGCATGCTCTTAAAAACCTCATATGAGCCGCCTCACGTGCGTTTTGGGCCTACAAAATTTCGGTAATTTAAAAAAAAATGTTATTTAACTTTAGTGAAAGTTTGTTTTCTTTGCATTAGGGAAAAGTTTGAAAGTAAATTAGTAAGTACGCTTTCCTCAATTTAATTTAAAATTTATTTTCACAAATTACTGTTAAAATATTTACCTAAAAAACTTTTTAAACTCGACGTAAAATTTAGTAGCATTAGGAATGAATGCTTCATTTTACTGAATTAGTAACTTAAGTTACATAAATTTATATTATAAATGGTAAAACATTTTAAATTACTAGGTATATACACTTATTTAGCTTTAATAAAAGCCCTGCATTTTTAAATAACAAAATAAAATTCTATACCTGTTATTGGACTTTAATTTAATCTTTGATTTATTTATTTTTCTAATTAGGTTTAATATTTATTTAAGGTACAGTTCATTTTTTTTATCTGGACTCGTGTGTTTTTGTTAGGTTCGTGGCTTATGCCAGTTTGACTTGGAATTTTTAGTATTTAAAAATGGTACTTCTAAAGAATTTAATTAAATACTTTGACACTGTCAAATTGACAATAATATTTATTATTGATTATTTTTTTTTGACAGTTCTCTGTATTGTTGGGACATTGTTGAGGCATTGTTGTTGAGGGAACCTACAGCGAATTACAGCGATAATTCGATAATTTTTTCATGTTGATTTTATTTGTTTCGTCGCTAAGTTTATTATTTATTAACATATGTCATAATATTGATTTGATTTTTAAGTGAATATCGTGAATTTCATTCCAAAATGAGTCGCTTTGGGGCTGTACAGTTACAAGATATCGACCAGGCGGTGAAGGATAATCGGCCAATTAATACCACGAAAAGCTAAGCATCCATATGGCGACAATTTGAAGGGTTTTGTAAATTAAAAAATTACCAAATTCTGGAAGATGAATTGGCTAAAATATTACTGGATTGGGCATTTAATATAAAAAAATAAACGGTACAGACATTAAAGAAGGAGTAATTAAGACAATGTGGAATGTTACCGGAAAATTGCTACAGGAAAAATTGTACAAAGAGTTTCATAGAGCCATAAATCCTTTCGAAGATATAGCATTTAAAATAATCTTATGAATACCATTCGAGCTTTAAATTAAAATCGGTTAATTGCCTCTTTATTCCTGCATACTGACGTCGAATCGTGTCAATTTGACAATTGTTGTCAAATTGACACTCTTCTCCCGTCACTATGCAACAACAAATCGGAAATTAACCGCTAAATTTAAAGCTCTTGTGGTATTATAGCCGACTATTTCCCTCGTCTTAATTTACACCAATCACAAACGCGCAATTTTGAATTACAAATGGTTTCTAGGTGAAAAAACTGTGTGACAGCACCTGTCAGCAGTTTTTTCGAGTTTACCCGCGGCAAAACTTGACAGCTGTTGTCACAAAAAATTGCAATTTATATTTTAATTGTTAACTGTTACTCATGATATAGTCTTGTCAAATATCATTCGGGCATCTAATTTTTCCTGTGAAAAATCGAAAAAACCCAATGCTAAGTAATATTTTTTAACAAAATGCATTCGTGCAGGTGCAAAAATCCTCCTCTTCGACTCGGATTTTTGTTGCCACCAGCACTCATGCATCTTGTTAAAATATTACTTAGCAACGTGTTTTTTCGATTTTTTTCGGAAAAATTAGATGCCCTTATGATATTACTTACGATAATTTACTTGTCAATTATAAATAAAAAGATAATTATGCCAAAAATAATAGCAATTCGAATGTAAAAGCCCTTTTGAGGGCAAAACTTCATTTTGATAAAATTATGCAAAATGCCACAATGGAAGAAAAAGTACATCGCTTTATGGACATTTTTGAAGTAAAAAAAGTAACGAATTTGGTTTTATAAATATTACATCACACATTATTTTCACATTATTTACACGATCTACACCTTTAGGGTACACTGTATAATAAGTTAAGTTTCTATTGTACATATGATCATTTATCGAAATATACTATACTATTCACCATTGGACAACATTTATGTTCTCAAAAAATTTTAATTTCTTTTATATAAATTTTATATAAATCAAAGCGAAGATTATTATCCGCTAGGAACACTTTCTCTTCTGGGCCGTGGAGCAACCTATATTTAACTACTTTTTTTATATGATTTTACTCATCCAAGCATGACCAAAGCCAAATTAATTGCATTTTTAACTACGAATTTCGACAACTCAACTTGCCAACTGCACAATGTAACCTACAATAATTTATACATAACCACAATTTGATTTATAACTAGCTTAGTTTGTTTTAATCAATGCGACCAACTTGACAACTGTATTTACCAATCAAAACCCTAAATTTGCAACGTTGCCGCACTCCAGATAAAAAAAAATTAACTTTAGTACATCCATTTAAAAATTTTAAGTCACTGACAGCGGTGCCAATGCTGTAAAAATATACGTTGTATTTTAATTAACAAATTAATACTTTACTTCAAATTAAAGTATCATTAAAAATTAAAAAAAAAATTTAATTTAAAATGTTAAAAAAAATTTGGAATTTACATAAAAAATACACTGTAATAATCAATCTTTTAACCCATTATCCATTTTCCAGTTCCAGTTTTTTTGTATTATCAGTCATTTTGACAATAGTTTTTATATTTTTTGACTGTTTTTTTTTAATCTAGTTGTGTCTAAATAAATTAAGATACCTATACTTAGATTTGCCATATTCTGTTACAGTTTATATGAATTAATCTTAATTACAAAATTAACACAATGATACAATGCAAATTGTAAATTTAAAGTTTTTAAATTATTGTTGAACTCGAGAAATGTGCAGTTTGCATAAATCACAGACCACCAAAACAATTTATTTGTTTTTATTTATTTTGTTTGTATTTATTTTTTAAACAATTTATTTGTTTTGGTAGTCTGTGACATGAACTTGTCAGCGCATCTATTATTATCTGAGTACATTAGATGCAAAACTCGGTTTTTGCACATTTTAAAAAAATATATATTTTATCTTATTTATGATCATAACTGCACTGCCCACAGCATAACTAAGTAAACCAGATGCATAAGTTAATATTTGTAGAATAAAATACATTTATAAACTTACCGCAGCTGCAAAACTGGGTATTTGTCGGATGCAAAACTCGGTATTTGACCAATCACCAATCACGTCGCTAGTATACGCATTAACTGACGGCATAACAATCACCTGATTAATTGTTATTTTTTTGGTATTTGCACTTTTCACTTGCAAAACTTGGTCTTTGAACGAGGAAGATGCAAAACTATGTTTTTAAATCTTTTGATTCCAATTATTTACTAAACTACTTAATTTTAAAGAACTTTTTTTTTACTTTTTTGAATAAGAAATGATGCAAAAGCACGTCTATACGATTTTTGTATTTTTTTTTTCAAATATGACCTTATGAGCGGTTTTTCGTGTTTTTCTTAAAATCACTTATCCTGCAAATACAGAGTTGTGCATCTATGATCTATTATAAACGTCAAACTTTTAGGTTGAAATCAAATACAATAAATAAAAAAATAAATGCAACTTTCATTACAATCCAAACATTATTAAATCGTTTAAATAATACTTAATATTTATTAATTAAACGTGCGTGAACCTACCTAAACGTTTAATAAATAAATATTAAGTATTATTTAAACGATTTAATAATGTTTGGATTGTAATGAAAGTTGCATTTATTTTTTTATTAATAAATTGGTTTTGGTTGTAACCCCTATGACATCCCCCTGGATCCGCTGTAGTTTCTGCGTTTTTCGAAATGTTTGTGTGCTGTTTGAGAAAGAACAATAATAATAATGTTCAATGCATATATTTTTGCTAAAAAAAAGGTATGTCTAACTTGTATTATTTAAGGTTGTCTTGGAGACTCCAGGCTGGAGTGAGTGTCGAATGATCAGAATTTGATAAAAATTTACAAATATTTTTTTTATGATGCTTCACATAATCCTGTTTAATTTAATAAAAATTCTTGTCGTTGGGAGCCGAGTAAATATATTTATATATATGTATACCTACATTTCAAAGTTGAGTAAAAATACACGCGTTCTTATGGCAGCACATGGATTGTTACTCTTTTCTCCTCCGAAATAATTATTGGTAATGATAGGATTGCAATGAAAAATGAGTAGGTATATCGTGGAACGTAACTTCAAAACATGATACGCGAAGTTTTATAATGATCATGTCGGTAGGAAAAAAGTTCTATTGGATTATCGGTGAATTCACGAAATTTGACGCTTGCACTGGAGATTCATGGTAAGGGTATATTTTTTATATTGGGCCAAAAAGGGAAAAATACCCGAAAAAAAATAAGTTTTTTGAAACCTTAAGGCAAACTGAATTATGATTCCTTGAATAGTCTAGTGCACTGTTTTCATATGAGATTCTACAAATTTGGTGAACTTTTTTGCTAGTGAATATTTATTGATAATAACTTATTTCTGTCCTTTCTGCAACACATTCGTTCAATTGAACAAACATATTTATATTCACATTAGAAGGGGCGTCTTTTATATAATTAGTTAGAAAACCAAAAAAATAAGGTTTTATAAATATTTAAATAGATTATTTTATAACATGGTTGTAAGTTGTTTAAAAGCGCAGAATCTCTAATACTACAGGTTAACTTACCTATTTGTATAGAAATATTTGTTAAACGACCGTAAGATATGATAATTTTATAACTTTAGAGCATGATGAATAATGAATATTCAATTTAAAGTAGCCAAAGCATTTTATTTTTCTTTAAGGTTCACAAATTTACGAGTTGCAGACGGGGACAATTTGTTGCAGATTGGAATTTTAAAAATAATAAACAGCCTAATAATAGTTATTAATGTCATTAGGTTAAGAAGTAAGGGGGTCAGAATTTCTCAAACGGGCCACCTGAATTAGGTCAAAATTAGTTTTTGTTTGTAGATACATTTTTTTGATAGTATTTTACATCACTAACACAAATCCTAAAGGATTTTGTAAAAAAAAAAATTTCAATTGACATATTCATGATATTAAAAGTCAAAGTTTTTAATAATTAAAAAATAAAAAAATTC